GTGGGCGTCTTACGCCAAGGCGCAAAATTTGGAACTTAAGACTTGAAGTTTTGACAATCTGCTGGAAAATAGGTTCTAGAAATCCATTTATGTTTTGGTTGTAACCCAACAAATGGTAGCACATTTATTCACTTGCCATTAATATCTAAACAATAATATAGTGGAAGGTATGTATCTTCTAATATATATATATATACACATATATATATATAGGTAAGTAGTTTAGTTTTGATTAGTTTTGAACACAGTCTACTTGTTGGCTCCATTAAGCACTAAAAAGATCCATGTCAAGCTCCAAGTTGACAAAAACACAGATGAAAACACAATTATTAATGTATCTTTCTTTGCCCTCATAAAGTTCTCAACTTGTATTTTTCTTTTTCTTTTGTTGGATTCTCAACTTGTAACTTCAGCCTATTAGCCTCACCTTCCATATCGAAATAGTACTCTACATACAGCAGCTGATAACTTTATTTTAGGGTGTAATCAAAATCTTGAATTTCTTAACGGAGTTTCTTTGTTAGGTCTGGTCTATCGTTAGTGTATGTTCTTAACTGTTAGATTAGATTAAAATCATATTAAATTAAAAAAATATACAAAATATATAATTTATAATACAAATATAATGGTTGAAAATAAAAAATTATCGATAATTCATTTTTTTCAATCTTATCAAAAAAGTTTCCATTTCTTAGACATTAACAAATAGAAAAATATCGTTCACTTCGCAAATTCGAGTTTTCAATTCGAGCTGAGATGTGACACTTTCTGAGAGCTTTTTACTATAGCAGAAAAAGTTGATGTGATATTTTCTGAGAGCTTTTTACTGTAGAAACCGAAAACTAAAAACTCGAATCGGTGAAATGAACGAGACCAGTATCTCTAGTGATGTTGAAGACAAATTTTTATTTAGTCTACAGAGGCAGCATAACCATCCCACACAATTATTAAATAATGTATTTGAAAATTCAAAAATTGTCTCCTAAGTTTCATTGAAATACTACAAATGTACCCAAGTCTTCTTTTTTTTTTTTTATCGAAATGATTTTCTTTTTTATTTTATTTTATCGAAATGATGTTAACTTTTAAATAATCAAAAAAAGTATGCCCGAGTTTTATAAAACATCAAAAAGTAGTCCAAAAAAAAATAGCAAAACTGCCCTTATGGATGTAATTAAACGAGCAACATTTTTGGATTGTTTAGTTTCGCTTCTTTTAACAAGTTTTTCTTGTTTAGCTGCAAGCTTAACATCGATCCTCATCTATAATATCATGTTAAATAAAAAAGAAATAGAGACAAATACTTTAGAGTGCGCATTGGTGTAGATTTTTATTTCTTACTCTTAATTAATATCATTTTAAAATAACTATACTAGTCAAAAGAATATTAATAAAGAATAAGCGGTAAAAATCAAAACTCGTGTAATATAAGAGTAAATTTAGCAATTTTTTCTAAATCCAAATATAAAACCGCAATGCTTAATAAATCGGGCTGAGTTGATTTTCTTACATCGTTAATTTCGCCGAACATGACTATAAGAAACACACTTAATTTTGGCATAAAAAATAGGGGAAATTTTGTTACATTATTTAAAACTCACAGGAATTTGTAATATTTGGATAAAATTTATGCCCCATACATATTTTGAATTTTTTTCAAATGTAATTGGCCTAAAAAAATAAAGAAAAAATGATTAAACTTATAGGACCTAAATTTTTACCCTTTGATACCCTTTTAACTAATATAGTTGGACAATATTTAATTAAAAGGATACTAATATAAATAAAAATCAACACCCATACAATTTATTAAGTATTTATCTCCTTTTCTCAAATATTTATAATGTTGAGTACGTGTGATGACTATAACTATTTTTTAACTATTCATAACTAAGCTATATTTTAATTATTAGCGAATATTTGGTTTATGGATTCAAAACTATTTTCATTTTACGTGTATTTTTTATAAGAGAAAAACACTGTAAAAAATCATAAATCATGATTCAGAATCAAAGAGGAATATAGGAAACAAACATCCTTTTAGTGATTAAGAAAAACCAACTTCCATTTTCTATAGGGATTGGTTGGTTATAGACTTATAGTGAAGATGGAAGAGAGAGAGATCTAAAAATAAATGCCCCTCTAGGCAGACCTCCAAAGTTTCGAACTTCAAGAGCATGTGGGCTTTTGAGTTCCAGAGACGAATAAAATCTAATATTCCAATCTAATTATTTAATTATAAATTTCAAGTGATCTGAGATGGAGGAACGTATCGTTAACTCTAAATCTAATGTTGGAAGTGGAGCATACTAAACACCAATTGATTCAAATAATTATCGTTGAAATGTCAAACACTTAGAACATGACACATGGAATTTTAAATGGATGTTCAAATTGTTACATTTTAATACTCTGCTAAAATATTGTCAGCGTTCGATAGAAATTCTTTTATTTACCAAATGAAAAAAAATATATTTAGGAGATGTATGAAGCTCTACTAGACGGCATTTAAATCTCACTATCTCTATTTTATGGGTTTAAATCCTTCTACTAATAAGCACAAATTAGAACAATATATAGGTATAATTTTAAACTTGCTCACCGTATCAACATGAATTTTATATTTTTCGAACGTGACATAGTATTAATAAAGCGAGTTGCATGTAATGTGGTAGTAGATTATATTTTATTGAGTGTTATATGACCGCATAAGCGATATTACATATACGAATACAAATATTATGTTTTGACGACTGGCATCAGACTAATATATTTTCTACATAAATAAATACGTACATACACTTATATATGTATGTACATATGCATGTCTCTCAAACAACAACAATGCAGCAAGGTAGGTCCATATCTGTATTGAAAGCAATAGTGGAATATTATAAGAGAAAATAATGCAATGTTGTTTTTACTTTTTGGTTACATTTTTCCAACAATAGCACGTTGTATTTTCTAATTTTAGTTTGCACAAAATTTGGTCAGAGTACATGTACATATCCATTAGTCGCACGACATTACTACCAAAACTGTGAGCTTATTTGTTAGTTGGAAGACAAATGAACTTATATATATAACACAAAATTATTAATATTCCCACTACAAAATCTCAATGAACAGTCTGTTTGTTGGTCACCGAACAATGTAGAGCCCATCTCATGCCCCAAACTATCCTAAATTGTATAAAACAACGATATTATAGTTAAGTTTCATTTAAAGAGAAAAAATCCGTTCACTTTGCTGATTTGAGTTTAGAATTCGAGTTAAGATGTGATTTTATGTGAGAATTTTTTACTGTAACAAAAAAGTTAGATGTGATTGTTTGTAAGAGTTTTTTACTGTAGAAAAACTCGAATCAACGAAGTGAACGGGGTATGTCACCAATTACTTTTGAACTCTTGCCACTTGGGTCTCTATTTTTTAAAATTTTGGCACTTGGTCCCCAAAGTCGTATTTTCTTAACTTCCGCAGGCCCTTTTTTTCAATTAGGTCATTAGACTCACTCGAGATCTAAAGTTCGGGAACCTTACATGAGTTTACATTTAAATAAAAGGAATTTCGGTGTTCATTTGCCTTTTTTTTAAGAGTTTGATATATTTTTTATTTGAAGGGGATGGAAAATTTCAAGATGCAAATTGCTTCAAAAGGTTATAGTAGTTTTTTTTAATAAAAGATATACAAAAATTGTTGCATTGCATCAAATGTTAAAAAAATGAATAATAAATTTTATCATCAAAAGTGCTTTTACATTTTGTAAATAAGCATTTCTCGTTCCTTATAAACAAATATGCATATATTATATATAGTTTAAAAGGAAGTTGGCATTTAAACAAAAACAGAGAAATTACTACAAAAAAGATATTGTTATGTTTTAAAGTAAATTTCTACAATTTTTATTTATAAGAAAAGAAACAATTTCACACATAAACCAAGATTGATATTTGTTCAATATTTATTTTTTATACTTAATGTTACTGAAACTTCCCCCACAAAATTTGCCGAACATGTTCAACAAAGAAAACATTTGATTTGATTTTTTGGTGTTTTCCATTTGTTATAATTGATGTTATGTAATTTTTACATTTATATCTAAAGAATATGATAGCCTTGGAATTTGCATCTTGATATTTCCATTTATTTCAAAGCAAAAATAGAATAAAGTCTTCCAAAAAAAAAAAAAAAAACCAAAATCAACACCAAATTCCCTTTTTTTGAAAGTAAATTTGCATTATAGGTCTTTAAATTTTTGTGTCTGAGGAAACTTGACAGCCAAATTAGCTAAAAAAGCACATAAGTCATGAAAAAACAACTCAAATTGTTTTTATAGTGTTTTCTTTCACAAAAATTTATTTTTTACCCACTTATTTACATTATTTTATCTCACATGAATTTACTTTTTAATTAAAGTACTCAACTCGAACGAGCAAAACAAACATGGCTCAAGATTTAAAAAATTTAGATCCAAATGCCAAGATTGGGAACCTAAGGTGCAAACTCACTTAAAAATGGCAAAAAAAAAAAAAAAAAACAAATTCACATTTCCAATCAAACACCAAACGAATTTATGAAACTATTATTAAATTAGAGTCTGTTAATTCACGTGTTAAATTAGAGACTGTTAATTCACGCGTTTATACTCATAATTTTAATTTTACTATAGTATTTTTACTCACAAGAAATTTAAATCAGAAAATTTTCTACAAAGTGAGCTCTCTCATAAAATTTAAATTTTAAAACAAAATTATTGACTTGAAACTATAAACCAGGTCCTTGATATTTAAAAAAGTGCACAAATAATAACTAGTGAACAAATGAATAATTCCCACGTTAAGTGCTGTTATCGTCTCACATGGCCTTGAAAACACGTTAAACAACAGGCAAAATCTCGTAATTATCTCAAAATGCAAGGGTATTTTAATAAGCCGAACAACTTTTGACTTTATAAAACCCCTCCAAGACAATATTTCCACTCATAATTCCATACATCTCCATCCAAAGACCGTTTTACTTAACCCCCCTCTCTCTCTCTCTCTCTCTCTCTCCGCTTCTTCACTTTCCCTCTCTTTTTCTCGAGAAACAAACACGCGGAGAAAAGGAATAGAGAGCAAAGAAAATGTCGCCGGCGATAGCGAAATCGTGCAACAAGATCCGCCACATTGTCCGGATACGGCAGATGCTGCAGCAGTGGCGGAGGAAGGCGCGCATCGCGGCCTCACGCGCTCTCCCTCCGCCGCCCGATGTGCCGGCTGGACACTTGGCAGTCTGCGTGGGGAGCAGCTCCAGGAGGTTTATCGTGCGCGCGACGTACATGAACCACCCGATGTTCAAGAAGCTTCTGGTGCAAGCCGAGGAGGAGTACGGCTTCGCCAGCTACAACGGCCCTCTCTCGATCCCCTGCGTCGACGAGGCCTTCTTCGAGGAGGTCCTCCGAGTTGTCTCCCGATCCGACTCATCCAACTCGGGCCGCTTCTGCCATGTGGACATCAGGAAGCGCCTCGATCTTCTCGGCGCCGAATCTCGGCCGTTGCTTCACGATCTCTCCGATAAATCCATCTGTTGAGAACGAGTCAAGACTCGTCCAAATTCACGAACGAGTGGCGCCACTAAACTTTCCTTTTTTTTTCCCCTTGTTTTTCTTCTTTTGAATTTTTTTACTATATTTTTAAGTTATTAACTAATTGATTTTTATTTTTAGTTTTTTGGAAATTTTCTTGGTTGCTGTGTAAAAGTAATTACTAGGGTTTAAGACTTGAGACTTTTTTTAGTGTTTTTTGTTTTTTGGCTGAGTCGTCCCGAGTTGAATCAGACGAGTTGGTGATGGCTTTGTTCACTTGAGAAAGTGGATAAATTTCTAAAGACTGTACTGACTTTGATCGTATGAATGATACAGCGAATGTTTTTTCAAGAGCTTGATAATCATATGATTGCTTCTAATGATATATTTTTGGATAAGATTGGAATATCCAAAATTCTATGCATATTATCTTCGTAAATTGTTGACGATAAAACGTTTGAATTTTAGACTTTTCTTTCTACAAATTTCAAAAAAAAAAAAAAAAAAAAGAATTCCTAAAAAAAGAAAAAAAAAAACTACAAATTTCAAAAAAAAAAAAGAAAGAAAAGAATTCCTAAAAAGAAAAATTGAAGAAAGAAAAGTCTAAAATTTAAACGAGTTATACATCGTCAACAAATTACAAAAAAAAAAAAAATACAAATTATGTGCCTTGAACGAAAAAAAATTACCTATAATTCTTTTATTTCGTTTTTTTTAATTAACTATAATTTGATTTCAGTAGTGTTGCAACTAAAAATTCCGGATTATAGCCTTTTTTTCTCTGCAAAATAGATACGATTATATTCTTGTGATCAAATCATCTAATTTCGTTTGTAGAAATTATTATATATATTCTAATTTCGTTTAGGTTGAAATAATCTAATTTCGTTTAGATTTTTTGTAATTTCAAAAACTATTGGAATGGTTTACTTTTAGTTAATAATTAATTTTTTCAACGCGGTTTTCGTTTCCTCTTAGGCTCTTATAACAATTTCATACGTTTCTACCTTTTTCAAGACAATCTATTGTGAATTTACTTTCTACTTCTGGAATGGATGGATTTGAAACAAAAGCAGTGTGTGAGCCAATGCATACGCTACAAAGAACAGAATGCTTGTAGTGCAAAATACTCGATGATATATATATATATATACATATATATATATATATATATATATATATTTAATACACCGTTATTATTACAGATTTATAAATGCTACTTTTTTTGGCTACATAATTTATTTAATCGATAAAGCTATTTGCTGAGTCAAAAGATATTCACTAATAATTGTGTGACGAGAATATACAAAGCAAAATCAACAATATTAGCTTTGTTGTATTCTATCACATTTAATTTACTGATTCAAGGTTTTAATTTGAGTTGAGATGTAATTTTATGTGAAAATTTTTTATTGTAATAAAAAAATTAGATATAATTATTTTTAAGAACTTTTTATTATAATAAAACTTAAATTTTAAACTCAAATTGATAAAATAAACAGAGACTCAATCCGTTCACGAACAAATCAGTATGAATTATCCTTCTTTTTTTTCCCCTTTTTTCCTTTTTTTCTTTTCCCCTTTTTTTCCTTTTTTTCTTTTCAAACGCTATCTTGGTAAGGTGTCCTACCAATACGAGGAAAAAGCATGTGAAAAAAGTTTCCAAGCTTAGTACTTTCCACTTTGTAATGATGACATACAAGAAAGCATACTCATAGATACATATATCAATACCAATAGATATATAGTTCTTTTGCCAATGATCATGCTGCGTGGTTGAGTGGTTGTGGTTCTTCAACAACAAATGTGCTGTACTATTTCATTATTTGGTCCAAGACCCATAATTCCATATGTTTTTTTCCCCCCTCTATGCCAATCCATAATAAGGTTTCTTTTGCTCATTATTATTATTATTATTATTATTATTGTTGTTGTTGTTGTTGTTAAATATACCAAAGGAACGAGACTAATAATGTGGAGCAATCAGTACTAACCCCATAATCAGGGGCTAATTTACTAACTAATTTTGTTACAAAAATTTGACAAAATGGAAAGTGACAACCTGAAATGTTGCATTTGATTGAGCCATGTTGGAAGCTATCAATAACAAATGACGATTGCTCTTGAGCATGATTTATAGTGTCCGGAAGGCATGAATTCAGCAATGATAAGTCTCTATCCTCTCTCTATCCTCTCTCTCTCTCTCTCTCAAAAGTCAAGATTGGAATTTAATCCAAAATCATGTCTTTAAGCTTATACAGGAGATAAAGCAGTGAGGTCGTTTTAGATGATCGGTGAAAATGAAATTAATAAACTTCAGTCAGACACTTATATAATCGTGTATAAATTGTATATATTTATACATAAATCATGTATATTTACATGTAAAGTCATGTATATTTAACATGAAATACAATAAATTAGTCAATATACATATTTTCATGCTATGTGTTCACTAATTACTATAAAAAAAAACATATTTTGAGAATTAATATACATTGTCATTTCTTATAACTTAACATACATGATTTATATGTAAATATACACTATTTACATATTAATATACACGATTGCACAATTATACAAGTGTCATGTAAATATACATAATTTACGTGTAAATATACACAACTTACTGTAAATATACACATTTTATATAAAAATATACAAGTACCGTTCTGATCAGACATTTTTCAAGTGCCTGATCAGAGACCTTGCCTCTATATATATATATATATATATTTTTTTTTTTTTTATAATATGGAGTCAAATCATCTGCCAATCAGATATGTATATTTTATAAACATGATTGTGGACTTGTAGTAGTCTCTTGAAAAGACCAATCCTTCGTACATTTTTTTTTTTTTTTTTTAATTTTTCGGGTTTGGGTTTTAAGTTT